TGTGAGAGTAAACACGCTTTCTTTTGTTTCCCTTTCAATGTCTCACCAATAATTAGCCTGACAAATTGCCTTTTAGTTACTTTTTTCTCTGCTGCCCCTGGCCTTCCCCCACCGTTTTCTTTTCCGTTGAGGAAGAGAGATGGACATGGATAGAATAGAAGTAGACTGACAGTGAAGGAGAGCGAGAGCGAGAGAGAGAGAGAGAGAGAGAGAGAGAGAGAGAGAGAGAGAGAGAGAGAAGCGAGAACGAGAGAGAGAGAGGGGCGGAGAAGAGAGAGAGTGGAGGGAGAGAGAGAAGGGGGGGGGAGAGAGAAGAAGAGCGAGAGAGAGTGAGATGGGAAAGAGAGAGATGGGAGAGAGAGAGAGAGAGGAGAGAGAGAGAGAGGAGAGAGAGAGAGAGAGAGAGAGAGAGAGAGAGAGAGAGAGAGAGAGAGAGAGAGGGATATAGAAGAAAGACTAATATATCGATAGAAAGAGATAGAAAGATCGAAAAAGAGAAACAAGAAAGAATACGACCGAGACAGAGAAAGTCAGACCGACAGAAAGACTGAGTAGCCTAATAAATCAATCTTAGGTTTTCGCCTTCCCGCTGTTATAAAGTTCGAATGCCTGGCCGTATATTATACCCTTCAGACTCTTGCCGTCTATTTTCCGGGCATAACTTTACCTGCTAATTAAATACGAGTGTTGTACACAATTGATAAGAGTAGGCTTCGACGCCACCCTGGCAATTCAAAATTTCCTACCAATTGAAAATGTTTAATTATGTCCCGCGGGCTCTTATGGCCTCATGCAATTGCGAAGGCCGTAAAGCAGTTAAAAAAAAAAGAAAAGAAAGAATAGAGTCCAACCTGCTCTACCGTCCACCTATCCAAGGCGATTACCAGTACAAACAACCACTTTTAATTTCTCCCCTTAAGTTTTTTTTTTCAAGTTCAATGGTAATGAAACTGTCAAAGACATCTGCCTATCTAAGACAACCACTTTTCTCGGGGGCAATGGATGGCCGTCTTACACAGGTTTGACTGTATACAGAACTTTCTACGGGGAAACGTTGTGAAGGATAATTAGAAATTTTGGTATACGCACTGAGTCTAGATTCTTCGTTTAAGGCAAGTTACCTTCTTACCCCCCCTCCCTCTATTTGTCATCTTCAATCTGCTCTCTCTCTCTCTCTCTCTCTCTCTCTCTCTCCCTCCCCCTCCCCCTCTCTCTCTTTCTTTCTCGCTCTATCTCTTTCGTTCTCTCTGTAGTGTATAATATATGTAACAATTCTTTTCTTTTTCAGCACAAAATGTGCCATATCGTCAACCCAAGCCAAGAACAGTCTCCAGAATATTATACTGACAAGAATCTGGGTCACACAGCACACTGAAGCACTCCTTCACGTAACACACAAACACACACACACACACACACACACACACACACACACACACACACACACACACACACACACTCACACACATATATATATATATATATATATATATATATATAACATTATATACATATATATATACAGATACATAGGCCTTTCTTTCACCTTCCTCTCTCTCTCTCTCTCTCTCTCGTTATACCCCTCTTTCTCCCCCCCCCCCCTCTCTCTCTTTCTGCCCCCTCTCTCCCTGTCTATTGGTCTGAAAATATAGACAGTGCGAAAAAAGAAAACAGTGTCTGTCTGTCTGTCTGTCTACCCTCTCCCCCGCCCCAACTCTCTCTCTCTCTCTCTCTCTCTCTCTCTCTCTCTCTCTCTCTCTCTCTCTCTCTCTCTCTCTCTCTTACAATGTACACATGCATGCATATAAAAGCATCTCTTCTTTTTTTAGCACAAAATGAGCCATATCATCACCCCAGGCCAAGAACAGTCTACAGAATATACGGACAAGAATCTGGAACATACAGCACAATAAGGCACTCCTTCACGTAACATTATATTTGTATATAATGTGTAGCCTATTTTCACCCATTGCATAAGTTAGCTCCTCTAACAAATCTCCCAACCAGTGACTGAAAAGAGCTTCTTTTATTGAGTGCCTCCTCTTTTACCCACTAAACCTTCCCTTTTACCCTCCTAAACCTCCCCACCACATTTTCACCTCCTTTTTGTCTTTCTCCCCATTCACAAGCCGTGGAATTTATCATTTATTTTCGTGCACGGTCATTATGTGAGAAGAGGTATTATAAGAAAGAGTGCCAAGGTTCGTGAAGAACGACAGTCACAAAAATAACCCAAAGACTTTTTCGAAATATTACCCTAAATCGTGGACTCTGACGGCGCCATTTCCAGTTCATTGCGGAGAGTTCTCTATCCGACTCAATTTGAGCCAAATAAATGGTTGAACAAATTAAATAATGAAAATGAAAAATATGAAAGGGGAAGAGGGGGTGAGGTGGGGGGCTTGAGGAAGCTCTACGCACTCAACTTCAGCGAGACTGGTACTGGTACATATAATTTGTTCCACATTTGGGCGTATTGGCACACCCATGGTGCGCACTTATCACAGCGATGGTTTTGTTTTTTTTTTTATGGGGGGGGGGGGGGGGGTGGGGCGGTGACAACCATGACAGTGTGCGATCTAAGA